CCCCCCCGCAATATCTTTATTTATTTATTTTTATGTGGTGCCGGGGATCAAATCCAGTGCCTCACACATGTGAGGTAAGCACTGTACCACTGAGCCACAGTCCCAACCCTAAATTATTTTTGTTATATTATTTTAAAGTTAGCCTAAGATATCATGACATTCCACCTCTAAATACGTGATTATCCATCTCTCTCTCCCTCTTTTTTTTTTAGTACTAGAGATTGAATCCAGGTGTGCTTTACCACTTTTTTTTATATTTGAGACAATACTGGCTACTAATCTTTGACTGTCTTTTGTTACATTTGACTGAATCATTTGAAAACTGTGTGCATTTTCTGACTGGTACACTTCAAAAAGAACAACAGGGGGGCTGGGGATGTGGCTCAAGGGGTAGCACGCTCGCCTGGCATGCGTGCAGCCCGGGTTCGATCCTCAGCACCACATACAAACAAAGAGGTTGTGTTCGCCGAAAACTAAAAAAATAAATATTAAAATTCAAAAAAAAAAAAAAAAGAACAACAGGGACAAGCTAACCTTTGTCAGTATCCACAGCCCTTTTTTGGGGGGCCCCTCAGTTTCTCCAAAGACTGATCCTTCAATCTCTAAGTTGGGGGCACATTCTTGGTGGCTATTATTAATAGCAAAGCACAGGGAGAAGACTGGAGTCCCACACTGTCAATATGCAGGCTTCCACCAATGGTGTGTTCAACCCTGTGTCACACTCTATTACACCTGCTTGCCTGAGTCCTGAACCTCAACATTCAATGCTCCTAGTCATCTCTTGAGGGTGGCAACTAATCAGTCTTGTTTTCTGGCCCATATCTCATTCATACTATTGCCTTCAAGTTCTAGACCTTCTGGGCATTTATGTTGCTGCTTCTTTTTTTTTTTTTTTTTTTTTTTGATAGTGAGGATTGAACTCGGGGACATTCAACCACTGAGCCACATCCCCAGCCCTATTTTGTATTTTATTTAGAGTCAGTACTTCACTATTGCTGAGGCTGGCATTGAAGGTAATTCTCCTGTCTCCTGATCTATGTTGCTTCTTGTTGTTACTTTCCTTGGCAGGCACTAAGGCTACGACTTCATCTGTTTAGCTAAAGAAGTTACTTGCTTGTTGGGCTGGGGATGTGGCTCAAGCGGTAGCGCGATCGCCTGGCATATATGCGGCCCAGGTTC